CCAACAGTCAGGCTCCTATGAGAATTACAAAAAATTATTAAGAAACGTGATTTGAATAACCGTGACTCCATTAAAAATATCAAGTCAAGCGTTTCTTTTCCAGCAGAGGGCAGTGCATAACCAGCAACCATCCATCGAGAATCAAACTGAAGGTTTCATTGAGACCGAAAATTATGTGCATTTAATATTAGATAGGCTCTAACAAAAAATGTCTCAATTTCACAGCTTACATAAAAGAGGCAACTGCTGTGGAATGATGTTTGTGAAGCTTCTGTTGCTGCTAAGCAGAGAAACATAAGAGGAAATGTCTCTGTCTCTAGCCTTACTGACATCACTGATGATCTTTGAGATGGATGAGAAATCCGTAGTGACAGAGATGTATAAAGTCCAAGCTGGCCACACGGGCATACTGCTCCTCTCCTCAGAAACGCACATTACATCTGATAACTGCACCTTCTGTGATACTGTTGTTCTTGCTGCAGTTGCAAAATGTGTGGAAAAGAAGTCCTTAAACCACCCTACAGATTCAAAGAGAACTGATCATGTGGTGCCTTAGTGTCAGGCATTCCTCCCAGCTCTGCTACTTAATGCTGTCAGACAACGCAGAAACCCAACAACCTTTCTGCTCACAAGCCCCAGCTCGCATCTCAACAGGCAAGTCTCTGCAGGAGTGTGATACACAGCATGAACTGGAATACACTGGACTTGGCAAGTTTTCCAGCGAGGTGGGGATTTCTCTAATATGTCTAAAAAAGGCAGCTCGCAAGGAAATTTCACTGTCATCAGGAAAAATTGTTTCCCAAACTTGTCACACTGACACAGATTTTTTTCTAAATTCTCCAAAACTTACATACACACATATAAACTTTGCTATTGATCACCCTCTTACCATAATATCTTCAGCCAGTAGAATGGTGAGAGTCAAAACACCCATACCTATATACTGGATTGGCAACCACAACATTACGAATTTGTGCAATTAACTATACAAACTGCATCAATAAATCTCATAACCTGAATTAAGTTCCCTAAAGTTGAATTAAACCCACAAAATATTGTCCTATCTTGCAAAGCTATAGATAATGATCAACACACTGGAATGTCATCAGAATTTTATTTTCAGTCGCACCAACCAAGTCCATGATGAATGACAGCAATTTCTATGACACTTTTCTTTCTAACAAAATCAAAGAAGAGTCAAAATAGGGAGAAAAATTAACAGTGTGGGGCTGAGAGAAACAAAAATCCTTCAGTAGAACTTCACAAGAAACTCTTTTTCTGCAGCTGTAACTTCCTTAAACAAGAAACAGTTTTTTCAAGTCTGAATCTAAATATAAACTTCCCTCATGACTATGCTGAGTGACAGTCATAAATTTTGAAATCTTTCCACTATTGGAATAAAATACAACTCCAAAATTTCAGGCCACAGTAATATTTATTAAGTCACTGCTGATATGTATTTTTATAATTATTAAGCACTATTTCCACAGGAAATGCTTCAAAAGTTAACCTGAAAAGAGAAAACTTTTTTTTTCTTTTCACCCTGATACAGATTCAATGATTACAGCATGGATGTCTATAAAAAAATCCTAAAGTATTTATAGTGAATAGGAATGGGACCAAAAGCTATCTTTAGTTCACATGAATTTGATCAAAATGACTCACAAAAAGTTCTCTGACACACTCTAATCTGCCAGCACTTGATTGTTTCTCCCTTGCTGCAGGAATCTATTCTGTGGATGGGCAGACTAAGGGTGTGGGAAGAACCTGCAGAGGCTACCAATGGATCTATTATTTGGTTCATAAAACTTGTAAAAATCTCACAGAATGTACAACGTGCTATTGTGTCCCTCAATCTCTTTCATGACTTGGGTAGCAGCCTGACTCAAAGCAGTCTGGCCTGTTTTCACTTCTACCATAAAAGGTTTTTTTGAAAGAGCCATTTAACTGTGACCATGGTTTCAGCAGCACTGTGAATACAAAGGAAGAGTTGAAGCCATATGGACACTTCAGTATACTCAGGCTTCCAACAAATCAGTACATTTTTTTCTCCCTTACAACTTGCTTTTGTATAATTAGCTCTTTATATACTGATTGAACTAATGCATCAATATTCAAGATGTAGTGAACTGCAACTTGTGAGCAATGTAATTTAAATAATTAGAAATCACAGTTCATCTATACAGAACATTCTCAAAAAAATTCTGTAATCAGTATTTTCTGCCTTGTATCTTGAACAGAATAAAACAGCAGAAAACACCAATTTATTTTGCATTTCCTCTATTCAGAGTATTTCCGAATACAAGGATTTATTTATATTACTTTAAGTCATCAGATTTTAGCAAGGAAAGGCTTGTTGAAAAGCAAAGTGCTACACTCAGCTTCAAAGTTTACCATCAGTCTATCTGCTTGTAGTTACTACAGCCACAAGAGACACGATGATGTTCTTCTCACTGTTAGGCAGCACACAACTAAAACCAGCACAGTGAACCAGCACACTGCTCTGTGCCCAGGTCTTTTTGTAAAACTGCTTTTTAAACCTATCTTGTCTTAAAGGAGAGTAGGTATGACTGTGCAGACTGATAAAGTGCATCAGTTACGAGAATAGCACCTATTTGAATCCATCAAAATAGCTACCTCCAACCAACCAGCATGTCAGGGACAACAGGACTGGGGCTGCTCCCTGCGGGACAGCGAGCCGAGAGCACAAGGTGGGTGATGTGCTCACAACAGGGCACAGTCCCACAGCACCCAGACCCAACCAAGGTGAGCAGGATGATGAGATCAACAGGTCCTATCACATTCCAGAGAGCCTCAGACAAGAGAGGTAACAGGCCAGGTATAAAGTCTGTCCTGGGCTTCCCACACAGCACTTGGAAGCAGGACTAGGGGCAGAAACACCCTCTGAGCAACTGAGGCAGGGTCTGAAGGTGCAGCCTGATGCAGCCCTCACCCAGGGGGTGCGGGTGACGTGTGGCTGGCCAGGACATCTGAGAACAATTGGTTCCCTCCGGGCCCTGACACAGTACAAATTGTTTGGGCTGTTAACTCCTGGGTAGAACTGCCAGCAGCCAAACTGCCCTAACACAACTTAAATTTGTGCCATGTATTACTTCAAGATAACACAATTCTTTCAAGGCAAATTAATCCAAAGTCTCTCTTCTCTTTACAGCCTGAATAGCAATATGAGAGAAACAAGAATCAGTATCAAGACTTTTTACAATTACAATGTACAATTAGTTCCAGTGTGAGTCTTATGTGTGAGTGATACCTCACACATGATTCATAATCAAGTTTATATGTGTTTTCAGTCAGTAAATCAACACTTCTCTGTTGAGAAACAATATTAACTCTATTTTCCTGTGCACTAGAAATATAAAAGTACTACTCAGAACTTGCATATCCTGAATCAGCAAAATATGATTCCCAAAAGTGCTCTTGTTGCTTTTTCCCTCTTCTCTTACTATCTCTTTTTCATTTTAAGGTATTTTTTAATCACTTAAGCAACATCTGTCAAAGCCTTCCTGCTAGCTCAAACTACGTACCCGTTATATACCAAAGAGACTTGTGCAAATGGCAATGGTGGTATTAAACATGCTGCAGAAATCTATTTTTTCAGCTTGAGAAAGTTAGCGTTTGGCAGTTTATACCTGCCACCATAATGTATTTGAGGATCTGGAAAATTTATCAACATTAATATAAAAAGTTACAGAAGACAGTGAACACATACTTGCTCAAACTGAAGCCAACAAAGGGAGTCCAAGATCCTGTTGGTATGAATTCACTCACAACTTTTACAGTTAGAGTTAACTGATAAACAAAATACTGGCGAGAGACCTCTTTTATTTATGATTGATTGATTTCTGTGCAAGAACACATTTCTGGAATCAGTTTTATTAGCAACGCAGACTTTGACACACAAAAAATATTTGGGGAGTTATATTTATTAGAAAGCAATTTCTTCATATTTTTCAAAGTTGTAGTTTGAGATGTCTTGTCTAGAGTGCCTGTTTTAACATCACTGAACTAGGATCCAAACTTGCAGTTCACTAAAGGTAGGGATATAGACAGGAAAAACTGGAAAAGAAAGGGGAAGAGAAGGGACTGGTAACCCTTATACTCTCCCTCATATGTTTCTTTTCCCCAGGCTTTCCTCCTCAACATCAAAGTTTTAATAACTAAGCTTAGCACCACTGCTACTGACAAGAGTCCAAGACAAGCTTCTACTAGAAAAACCAGAAACCACATTTATAATTCAGAACTTGCTGCAACAAGACAAGACACACATATTGATGAATTGGCACATGATACCTCTGCCTTCTACTTAGTCACATTATTAAAACTGTAACAGCATACTCAGTACAGCACAGTTAGAGATACACAGTAAATTAAATACAGCAATTAACAGGCCAACCACTTAGTTGCCTCTGGCATCCCCTCTTCCACAGTGCTCTTGAGAAGGATTTTGACCTTCTCTACCATATCCAAACTTCAGGCTGGGATTGAGGCCAGGGATCTCACAACACTGAACTACCTGTTTGGAGCAGAAATCCAGCAGCTGCTCTGAGAGTCTCCTCTGGCAGACAATTTTCCAGCCATGTTTTGGACCAGAAGTTAATTTTTAGCTGTAATTTTAGTAAGTATATGCTAGAATTGTAAACCTAATTTTGACATTCTTATTATATTTTCAGATGTGTTTCTTTACTTCTCCAGAAATCTATAAGCAAAAAATACAGCTTCTTTTAATCTGCTAACCAAAGCAAGAATTTAAGCAGTCACCATGTAACTGTAAAGAAGCCCCATATAAAAATGCAACCTACACCCAAAGTACAATGCCCACAAGTATTTCACTGAAGCTTTAAGAAACAGTCTGACATATAAGTTTAGTTGTACTGAAAGATAGACAGTTGCACTATTTATCTACAAATGTCTGGAAATGCTCTGTCAGTGCTGGGTATAGACCAAATAAAATATTCTGAGGGTAAGAAACAGTACCTTACCTTAACATATTCCAATGCAGGATCCAGAATATTCTGATCTCTGTTAGAAAATGGTACCAGGAGAGAAGGACAGAAAGAAAAAACAAACACAAAAATGGTAAGTCCAAATATAACCTCATACTGAAGAGATGCATTCATAGGAGCAATATGCTACTAGGTCACACTAAAATTCTTGTTAAAAGTTGTGTGTTTGAGATAGATAGCCTATGCTATCTTATTTTTAACAAATGTATAAACCACTGATTTCCTCTAGAAGGACAGGTAGTAGAGCCAATAGTACTTAATTTAAGAAATAAAGTTGATTGTACCATTTCAAGCAAATAAAAAAATCTTGACATTTCAACAGGTAGCTGAAATAATTACTTGCCTCCTAAAATATTTGAAATAAATTTAAAAGAGAGCTCTCCCAATGGCTTTTGAATTTATTTCTTCACTTTTATGTTTTCCCATTTAAGCTACTGCCTCTGATAGCACTGGGAGAGCGCTGCTTACAGGAAATAGAAAGTACTACATTCACTTTATATATATACACAGAAGTTCTCAAAATAATCATAATTTCAGCATCACAATTATTTGAACACCAGATAATCAAGTCATTGCCCTAATCTAAAAATAAAAATCTCATCATAGGTTTTTTAGACAGACAGATGGCAAAGGGCACGGAAGCCTGAAGAGCCTTGCACTGTTACAACTCTTTCCATAAAATATATGTTTATTTTTATTTCAAAGCATTTTGTATATTTGTTTTTATTTGAGAACTATCAGGTTAACAGAGTTTTCAGTACATTACTGGATGTTTTCTACAGAACCTGGGATGACACACATGGTACTGCCCTCAACTATAAACATGTAACAGCACAATGAAAACCACGCATACTTGAGAGGGAGTTGGCACTTGTTACAGCAATCAAGTTTTCCACATGGACAACAGATCTCTATAAATTTAGAAACAGGATCCTTTTTGGTGGAAGCTGTTGCAAAGATGTAACACTAGAAACCTAATAAGCAGCTTCAGAAATGCAGAATTTGGGTTACACTGGAATCAATCAATCCAGAAAACAGTCTCTGGATTCCCTGTATTGTTTTGAATGTACTTGCATATCACCTGAAACTATGTTATTATTTTATACTCAATTTTTAATCCAGAATATACTCATCTTTTAATCCAGAATATCAGAATACTGAGCCTTCCCCATAGAATGATGGTGCTCAAATGTTCAGGCTGTATCACGTGTTGCTGTTTCACATTATCTCAGTATTTATCAAGGACCAAATTACATTCTCAACTGATGTTTAAAAGAATAAAAATCTGGAAAATTCAATGGTAATAGAATTTGGACCATTTGAAACTTTCTCCTATGCAATATACAAAGAAGGGTCAGTTTGATAATTGTATGAGCATAAAGCATGTACAAGCATAGCAGAGAACACAGGGGTGAAGCACATAGGAAAAAAGAAAATAAAGCTTCTAAACAGATGTTTTTCTTCTCAACACTTTGCAATTTGACTGGGAAAAAAAAAATCCCATTTTTAATCAGTTCAGCAAAGTCATTAAACATGCCTGAATTCTTCTCACATTCAAATGATCTGTGGGAAGTTGTTCCAGTACCAAATGCTCCTAAAATACTTTGCAGTTTAGTTTTTCATTTGCCTGTGGAATCTCTCAGGACAAAGGGTCTACCAGCACTGCATATGCAACACACTGTGAAAGAACAAACCTGCTTATTCTGGCAGTGAGCATGTCTTGTTATGGTCCGCACTTACAACCTGCACTCCTGCAGGCCAGCCTTCCTACAGACTCCATTGGTCCCACCTTCTGCTACAAGGCAAATGATCTTTAGGACAGATCAAGCCAAAGCAAAATGAAAGAGGTAGAAAAGCTTTAAGACAAAACAGTTTATTTACAGGTATATAAAGCAGGACCTTCAGAAGAGAGCAGAGAAGTGACCTGCATTCCTTTCAGCATCCACATGACAAAAGTGCTTTAAAAATGTTTGGGTTTGAGAAATGGATGGTGTAAGAAGTATCTTCACAAGTACGGTAGTATTTTATCTGGTAAATTGACCCACAACAAAATATACAACAAAATCCTGCAATTCACCCTGCGTCATATAGAAAGATGTTTATGTTGGAGCACTATTCGTCTCAGATACCCGTCTCCAAGCTCTCCCCCTCTTCCCTTGTTATCTAAGCCTTCATATTCATGCAAATTTTTTGAAGCTATTTTCAAGGAATGGTAACTTTTATTGATGTGTAGTAACTAATAGTAAAGATTAGCTACTGCATTTTCCTGTGATTTGATTCCACCACAATACTATCACATTACATGCAGAAAACCAAATTAAGCAGTTAGCCCAAATAACTAGAAGGCAACCTAATAAAACTAACTCCTCAATCTCAGCTCTCTGTTAGCAATGGTGACGTTTCTTTAGGCCATGTGCTCCTGGTGAAGAAAATCTATATTGTCATGAAGTTCAGAAAAATATGGTACGTTTTTTTCTTTCCATTTTCCCTCTCAAAGAATCTTAATAAAAAATGATGAATCCACATTCTCATTTACTATATTAGAAGATCAGTAGAAAAAATATTAATACTTTCAAATGACTAACAGATCAGATGAAAGATAGCAGCAAGTTCTGCCATCTCTCAGAATCAGTTTAACTGAAGGCTTGTTTCATTAATACTAAATTCTTATAATTCATCAGATTTTATTAACTTTCAAATAATGCTAATGTTTGTCTTGATAAAAAGCTTGACTTTACAGCTGAATTCATTTGCACCTGTTTACTTACAACATTAATGTATTAGAGTCTGCATGTAAGTCATCCAGTCCTGTGTAAACTGAGGCGCATAGATTGGATTTTATTACGCATTTTGGTTTCCTGATAATCATATAAGGCCTGCTTCCAGTCCAAAAAAAAGCATATTTAATACAGAATGATGTCCCTGGAACAAAGAAGTTTTCAGAAGACCTCGTGCTAAGTATGCACTAGGACACGCAATATGGGCTTCATGTTCTTTCCATAGCCATTCTGCCACAGGCAGGAATTTAAAAGGGGAATGCAAGCAGACTCCCACAACTGTTTTGGGTATTGCTATTGCTGCCACCTCTTGCTATCACCTCACTTTGTGGCAAAATCCCTTTCCAGCATGTTTTTACTCATAAGAACAAAAACAAAAAAAAAAAAAAAAGAAGCAGCACCTGACTTGTTACATGTAATTAAGCCATTCTCCTGTATAGTGTAAATCCTCTGTTGCCTCCCCCACATGCACAAGGTCTGTGTGGAAATTGTGGAAGCATAAACACTCCAGTAATATTTGACCACTAAAAGAAAGCACTACATTCTTAGCCATCATGATTCTGATGCTTTTCCTAGCCAGAAACACATTCTCTCTAGAGACTGACATCTGACAACCCGTTTTTCAGTGTTGGCTGATCTTGCAGACATACAACCATTTAATCTCTCCCTAGCAGTCCTTGGAAATTATCTCAATTTCTTCTCAATCCAGTTTCAAGATTTTTATCAAGATTCTTATGTGCTTTTTTTTTCATGTATGGGTTTCTTGCTGATATGGCCAAGAAAATACACAGAGCTTGCAAACAAGCATGGAGCTTCAGCAACCCCAGAAAAAAATGAAGGCAAGAAAAAAAATGTGAAGTTGCTCTTTTGCTTCCCTCTTCTCCCCACAGCAACATTTGTTGCAAGAATGAAGGGTTTGGTGTCATACTGGTTGGCACTGACTGTCTATGAGCAAATAATGATACATTTGACCACTATGAGAAACAACACAGCTTCTCAGGAAATAGGAATTATCATTGTATGAGGACCCCTTTGAAATATAACTAGAGCTGAATGATATGAGAAAAGGGGATGGAATACAGCTGTTACTGGATGCTAGTTCTCTACTTCCCAATACCTCTAAATAGTAGTCAAACATACGGGGAGTGTTAAAAGATTTTAAAAAAAAATGCTCTTTTGAAGTTGTCACCATGAACAGTCACTGGCTAAAATGAAGGGAAAAAAAAACCTACTATAAGCAACCTGAATCATACTTCTGGTATGACAAACTACATATTGTCATACTGCCAGTTTCAAATCCTGCATGGATTTGAAGACAATGAGCAACCAAACATGAAAATTGGGTAAAGGAAACTTTAATATCCTGGTAACTAGTCACTTCAAAAATATTTGATAAAATTGTTACACACTCACAATCAGTGCTGGAATTGAAAAGCCAAATCCTGGCATTCAATCCCAGCATCCATTATTCAGTAACTCAGATATCATCCGTTTTTCAGACTCTGAGGTTTGTCCAATCGTCCTCTATAGGGCTGCTTCAATAAAAAATCTTTAAGGCAGAGATGCTGTAACCTTTAGCTGTTTGATTCTGTGGAAAACTTCCACGTTTCTAACATTGTACATTACCTCCTCTCATCACTGGTGCTATAAAATTCGTGCAGACCTTTACACACTAAGCCATATGAAGCATCCGCATTTTCCAGGCCCTTAGCATCCTCACAGAACCATCAGCTACAATTATATATTAGTTGTGATAACTTTAACAAAATTTAAGTGCAGACACAACAGTATTATCAAGTTGCTCAAATCCTTGCTATCATTCAACTCCCATATAAACACTCTTTCAGTGGTGGAAACTGCTGAGTGGCCCTGAGTCAGCTGTGTGCTACTTCACACTTTTATAACTGCGCCTGTGGGAAAAATATTGGGACACATTGCCAGTATTTGATGTATGAAAATATATTGGTCTATTTTAAAGTGACTTTTCCTGGGGATGTTTTGAAAAGCATCTCCTTTCTACCATTGAAAGAGAAATCATGTGAACTATCTTCTCAGTAGTTCCAACACCAATGGTGCCAATGCCAAATCTGAGTAAAGACAACAGAGGCTCAAAGGAAGCCTGAGACCCTCAAAATGTACCAAGCTGTTGCATGGCTGCTAACAGAACTGCTGTAAACCAACCAGATGGGATCTTATACCTTCTTCAGTTTGTGTCTTTGAAATCTCTCCATCTCTGTAG